CCAGGATTAATATGAGGGTTTTATATAATTAGATTTCTATTGAACTATAATGTAAAAAGATGGTTAAATAATATAAACGTATACATGCTCGAGAATTTTTTAAGAAAAATATTCAGATTTTAGAACATTTTGGTTTTACCTGTATACATACAGAAAATCCAGTATCGAGTTTCTAAATATAAAATGTTATGAGTTATATTTATGTCACATATTTATAATTTATGTGTAAAATTCCAGTGTGAGGAGAGAAAGAAATATATACAATCAATTACCTATATCATTTTTCTTTTATAATAAAATTCCTGACGAGAAATCAGATTTCATGTCATCCCAATCTGACAGGAAAAAATATATATTCTACGCCCTTAAAAAACATGATATATCAGGGCAATAATATGTCGCCGAGGATTCCTTCGTTGATTTACTATTTTCTCTTTTTTCCAGGAGGTATTTAATAGAAAAATATTTGACTCACAGAGTGTCTTGGAAAAGAATACATGTTTCAGATCACAGTATTCATCATTTAATTAATTTTGATACAACATACATATATTAAATTATTATTAACAAGAATATTTTTATCTAATATGTTTGTAGGTGGACGGCACATCTTACTTTGACGTGTTGCAATTTAACTTTGATTCACTAAACCGTGCAATTCGGAAGTTCGTAATATGTTAGTAATATGGAAACGGGTTTGAAACCGTAACGAATGTTTCGGATTACCCGCCGAGAATATCAAGTATAATTTCAATTAATGCTGTAACCATGATCAGGATACATGAAATACATGGAATTATATCTTAATAGTTGTTGATGCATATATAGTTTTAATGACAAAGTAATTTTCAATATCTCAATTTGGTACCGTAAGATCCATTACAGAAGTAAGTAAAAAATTCGTCCAGTTAGCTTGGAAATGAACATCAATTACACATTCCTTATATAATTTTACATATAAAATGACAGCGATCTTCATTTCATAGCTGATGCCGTTTTTTTTTCGATCATATTGTATTAACACACTAGATTTTTTTACTATTTTGGTATACATACCATATGGGCAAGCAAAGTCTTGGGTCGGTTTTTACATGTCTAGGAGTGAATTGCTATGGCGATTTAGTAAGTCGGAGAAAGAATGCAAAGTATTTATTATATAACCACTTAATCCGATGCTAAACTTTATGCGCTTGTGAAAGTACATGCTCGCTCTTTATTCAGTACATTTTATTTCAGCACAAATCGCGAAATCGGCACCCAAAGCCAGAAATGCCGACCCGCTATAGCTTTGCATGTTAACAAATTAAATTTAAACCATAAGTACAATTTTGTAATAATACTCCATGTTTTGTTTTTTAACTTCACCAAACACGACTTATGGTACTATTAATTAACATTTTTATGTTTACTGAAATGCAAATTTCGTAAAATATTCTAAAGAGAGGTTGGTAGTTAGGAGAGATAAGTGTGGGTGACTACAGAATTAGCCTGATACATGTTTGAAAGAAAATTTGAGATTTATTTCTTTAAAAACATGTAAGTTACTTTTATTATATCAAATTTTGAGGTGTAAACTTATCAGATTATGCCAATACACGTGATTATATTTTTCAACCTAACCTAACCTAACTATTTTTTTTCCCCACGAATATGGTGTTTTGGGTTAAAATTTCCCTTTTCCATCATTCTTATCATCTGGAATTTTCCACGAGTTGGCATTACTGATAACATCACTGAAATAAAATTCTTAAAATACATTGAGTTATTTTTCGAAGTTAGAAACATTTTTTATCATAATTTATATGTCTATGATAACCATTTAATTTAAATTATATTAAATTTGAACTTTATTTTTTACATATGTTGTAGTTGTTTAAAAATCACATTTTAACATCTGGAATTTTCCACGAGTTGGCATTACCTGATAACATCACTGAAATAAAATTCGTAAAATACATTGAGTTATTTTTAGAAGTTAGAAACATTTTTTATCATAATTTATATGTCTAACATTTAATTCAAATTATATTAAATTTGAACTTTATTTTTTACATATGTTGTAGTTGTTTAAAAATCACATTTACACGGTAAATATAGGCTTCTAAAAATTTCAGACAAATAAAAATTAAATACTCAATCTTTCAAAATCGTATTGAGGGAGTACATAGTCAATATAAAATTATTAGAATAGCCAGAAAAGACAAAATAATAGCTTTAATAATAATAAAGAAATAGAAATTCAAAACATATATACTTGTACAATTACATATTATGATTGTAATTATAATTAGAATAAAAAGAATTGGTATTAATAAAATGCTTAGATGCTTAGAAAACATATGTAAGTTTAATTTGATTGTTTTATGTGATTGTAAAATATATATTACCAAATAGGAATCGCTACTATCAGAAGAAAAAAGTCAATATTTAACAGAAATAAAAATTTTGTTGTTGGGTAAATTATATTGTTACTATGTGACAAGTTTTTTACTGTTTGCATTTTTCTAGTCTCGTATATTTGTCCCCTTTCGTTAGGCCTAATTTAATAAACACTATATCACGGCGATAATTGCGCGCGCCTCATTAATAATTAAACCCCATCAAGCCGAAATTAAACGCCATGCACTGATTGTTGCCCCCGACGACTAAGTTATTAATGCCCTGGTTGCCAGGAGAGAGCTCCAACAACGGAGCAATCCATGATTTCGGGTACAGCATGACGTTGACATACTTTATAATCGGCATTTCGTTATTGATAAGTAGTGGCGGTTGCTGGAAATCCGTGGAAGATAATTGATGGGTTGAAGAGATATTTATAATGGTTGGTAGTTCCGAACTCCTTTCTAGCCAAATCAATGTGTGTGCCGATAACTTAACTATTAATATATTTCTCCCATTACTTTTTATAATTTATTATACCGTATGATCGAATAAAAACAGCGTCAGCGATGGCTATGAAATATGATCGCTGTCATTTTATATGTAAAATTATATGGTAAATGTCATCGATCGTCATTTCCAAGCCAACTGGACGCCATTATTTTTCGATCATAGGGTATTTATTTTTTATCTTTACGTTCTAATTAAATGCTGATGTATTTAAAGATGAAACTAATGTCTATACCTTAGTGGCGGGTTCATTGCTTCAAAAATGATTTCTGTTTATCTCATCAAAGAGGCCGAAATCGACAAAATATCAAGAGACGACTTGTAATCGGTATTATTAAACTGCTTACATTATTTCACTAACATGATAAAAAAGGTCAGTGGCGTACATGTTTTTTTAGAAAAATATTCCAGCGATAACCCATATGCACGTCTCTGGTGAATATGTCGACACTTTTTTTGCTTTAAAATATGTCGCTTTTATCCCTCAAAATTTCATTCGAAACGCTAAAAGTATTTGGAAGAAAATTATAATAAATAAAGATAAACATGAAAATATGGTTGAATTTTTTTGAAGTCCTAAAAATCAAAAGGCGTTTATGGTAGAATTAGTAAGAGGGAGGATGTTAATCATCCTGACTAGGGATGGCAACGATATATCGATATATTAAATATATCGATATATTAATGGAAATATGTCGATATATTTGCATTGATGTTTTACTTTTGATATATAGAGTATATCGATAAATTTTTTGGGATATATCGAAACCATCATTATTTTTTAAACAGTAATTGACAGTAATGTACCAAGGCGCCATCTATAGTATGTTTGTTATCTATGGTGTTATTGTGATATGGTTGTGATCATTTCAAACGTTCATTATAAATACGGTTCCTTCCAATCAGGTTCCAGCAGGTTCCAATAAACAGTTTGGTTTTTTTAAATATCTATTGTACCCCTTTCCATTTTCTTGAGTTATATCTCAGCTCTCGGCTCAGCTTATAACTCATCATATATGGGGATCTTACTGTTGTAGGGGGGACAGGGTATTTCCTATCTCCCTTTGACAACAGATGTTCATCCTTCAAGGAGTAAGCATCTACCTCCTACGAGGGTATACACCCTTCCACGGTTGGTGTTTAGGTCGTGTCCTTCAGAGTCGAGGAGCTTGTCTCTGGCTGATCTCCATTTTCTCCACCTCTTTAACTTGATCTATTTTTAGACTTGATACCGGTGTTGTCCCGAATCTATAATAGAGGACATATTCCTCTTTCTCTATTGCCCCCTTGGATTTGAGATTAATTACATTGCAAGGGTTAGTTGATCCACTTCTACAGAGCCCGCATGTAGAAGTAAGAAAGACGAGTATACGAAAGGTTAATTAGACATTTTAAATGTTTTTTTTTTGTTCTTTGTGTTTTTTTGCTTCCGAAGAGAGGATGATATAAGCTTTTTGCTTCGTTAATCGGGCCACACATTATACGCTTTATTGTACTACAAGTCCTAAAAATCCCTAAAAATATTTGCACTTATTTAAGACTGGACGTCGTTTTTTTTCGATCATACGGTATTTTATGTTTCCAGTCGAAATAAAAGATTAGTGTAATTTATATCGATATACAAAATAAATCAATATTTTGTATATTTTGTATGTTTTCCATTCGATATATCGAATATATACCGATATATGATTTTGATATAATATCTTATGATACAATATATGTCTTTTTATTTCCGTAAATTATTTTTATTTCCCTAATCGCGACCTTAAATATCTATTGTACCCCTTTCCCTTTTCTTGAGTTATAGCTCAGCTCTCGGCTCAGCTTATAACCCATCATATATGGGGATCTTCCTGCTGTAGGGGGGACAGGGTATTTCCTATCCTCCTTTGACAACAGATGTTCATCCTTCAAGGAGTAAGCATTTTTTTTTTTTTTTTTTTAGAGGATGGTAAAAAAATCTTCTTAGACGCCTGGTCTGTTGTTCTGGCGACCGAGGTGTGCCGGATTCCTACCGACTAAAAAAATTCCACCCTATTTGGTAGACAAACTGCGCTGGAACTGCGCATTACTTCGGCGCAGATGCCCCTCTCTACGTTAGACTTTGGTCATTCTTCAACCCTCCGTTGATCCAGCTCCTTCTGTCGTAGAATTTTTGATATAAACGCCACGAAAGCCTCCCATATATCTTCGTCCTCCACAATAGATGGTACTAAGTTTTCTTTTTTAAAGGGTACCTTAAAAATCCCCTTGATCTTTAATCTACCTGGTTCCCAGGCCGAGCATTCAAAAATGGTGTGACTGACATCGTCGATGGCACTGCTGCAATATTTACAGGCCGCACTAGCTCTTTTCTTGAAACGATATAAATAATGTTCGAAAGCTCCGTGACCGCTAAGTATCTGGGAAAGATAATAGTCTACCTGTCCGTGTTTTCGTTCAGTCCATCTTCTTATATTCGGGATTAACATATGTGTCCATTTTCCACCGTACGCCTCATCCCATCTTCTTTGCCACAGTTGATATAATATCTCCTTCGCTTCATTTTTGATATCAGCCTTATCTGTTCTTCCTGTAGTTTTTTGATCATATATATAAGCCCTTTCCTTTACTCCAGGTCTATTGGTGGTATACCTGCGATTACGAATACCGCTTGCTCCGCTACAGTTCTGTAGGCAGAAACAACTCTCAAGGCGCCCGTCGCTGAACTGATAGAAGTTTCGGTTTTTCTTTTTTTAACCTCCAGTGCCTTTGCCCATATTGGAGCGGCGTACAAAATACTGGCGTGGACCACTTCATTTAAAAGTATCCTTTTCTCCTGCCTTGGACCTCCGATGTTTGGCATTACTCTTGCTAATTTAGCCACTGTTGTCTGAGCCTTTACCACTACTGCATGTATGTGTTCTTTGAAATTCAGCTTTTTATCAATTTGTACTCCCAGATATCTGAGGCTTTGACTAGGACTGAGGACCATTGATTTCCGTCCCATCCAACACAATCTTTGGATACGTAAAAGATCGCTTATCCGTTATCAGTACAGCCTCTGTTTTATGGACAGCCAGTTGCAAATTTTTCATCTTCAGCCAACGGTGTATTCTATCTAAACTGTCGTTAACTTCAATCTCCAGTTGTTCTGTTTTACTTGCCGTTGCCACAACAGCAATATCATCTGCAAATCCCACTATATCTGTGTTTTCAGCCATTTCCAGTTCCATAAGCTCGTCATAAAATATGTTCCATAGGAGGGGTCCTAGGACCGATCCTTGGGGAACTCCCATTGTTATGTCATACGTTTTTGTTCCTTCAGACGTTAGATAGAATATTTTTCTCTCTGTAAGATAGCTATTCACCATATTTTTCAAATATTCTGGGAAATCTTTTCTATTCAAGGCTTGTATAATTTCTCCCCATCTTGCAGTATTGAAAGCATTTTTGACATCTAAAGTTACTAATGCACAATATCCTTTATTTTTCCAATTCCCTTCCTTTACACTCCTTGCAATGGTGACTACTCGATTGATTGCGTCGATGGTCGATATGCCTTTACGATATCCATACTGCCGATGTGATAATCCTCCTATGCTGTCTACATGGACCTGGCACTGGTGTCTATTAGGCAGATTGGTCTATAAGATGACGTATTCTCTATTGGCTTGTTGGGCTTGTGTAGAAGGACCAAATTTTGCTGCTTCCATTTGTTTGGGAAACATCCAGAAAGAAGACATTCATTTACTGTGTGTAGTAGTAACTCCGGCCATACATCAATGGCTATTTTAAGAACTTCGTTTGGTATGCCGTCAGGACCCGGTGATTTATTTGCCGAAAGTTTAGGTATTAAATTAAATTTAAAGAATAAAAATTAAAAGTTTAGGTAAAAATTAAAAGTTTAGGAGTAAGCATCTATCTCCTACGAGGGTATACACCCTTCCACGGTTGGTGTTTAGGTCGTGTCCTTCAGAGTCGAGGAGCTTGTCTCTGGCTGATCTCCATTTTCTCCACCTTTTTAACTTGATCTCTCCTTAGACTTGATACCGGTGTTGTCCCGAATCTATAATAGAGGATATATTCCTCTTTCTCTATTGCCTGCTTGGATTTGAGATTAATTACATTGCAGAGTTTGTTGATTCACTTCTACAGAGCCCCGCATGTAAAAGTAAGAAAGACGAGTATACAAAGGGTTGATTAGATATTTTAAATCTTTTTTGTTCTCTGTGTTTTTTTGCTTCCGACGAGAAAATGAGATATGCTTTTTACTTCGTTAAACGGGCCACACATTATACGATTTATCGTTCTACAAGTTATACAACATCAGATCGTTTCGACCATTGGATCAATGATTGGATAGTATTCTAGTACAACTTACAGCTAGACACGGTTGTATCGTACGGAATAACAACACACTAGTACATGATAGGTTTGGTAGTAGTTGTGCAATGTGCAAGCGCTTCTTGATGAAACCAAATCTAAACATTTTTCGTGACACAACACAGTTTCTAAAAATAGAAAATGAAAAGTTTTGATTTGGTTTGGTGGGATGTAGAAAGTAACGAATACTTAAACAAACAAAAGAAGTGTAAGTTATGAGACAGATATTGGAAAAATTATAAGAAATAAAAGTAGATGCAACTTTGGAATATGTATGTAATTACAATTTTTGGGAGGGTTCTTCATCTTCTTCTAAAAAAACGAACACAATTGCAGCTATTGTCCTCTCTGACAAATACAAAGCCATGGCGAACAAGACAAAATCAACTAGGAAACGATTTATTGTACGACAGACACTAAATTAGTAGTTTAAGTTTGTGGACAACAGTGCGTCCGATCTGTAGTTCAAAGGGTCGAATCAAATTTGTGTTGTATAAACTGCAGTAAGATAAATCGTATAATGTGTGGCCCGTTTTAGGCAAATTTGTTCTACTAGTAAAATATCACTGACAAATTGGTCTGTGTTGGATCAATGTAGTGGTGTTGACAAAAATAACTATTTTATGTAGTAGATTTTTTCTAGTGGCAAAAAATCCAGAAGTTTTTTAGAAAAAATCAGAGATGAGCAATACCATGATTTTAAAATCACACTATTAACTGATACTGTAATTTGAGAAAAGCTTAAACAATTTTATATTAATGAACCCTCTCTAAAAAATTTCTCTTTCTTTTTAAGACAAACAGTGACATACACTCAGATGCAAAAAAAAGCAACATAGAAATCTTTGGTCAAATTTAAAGTCTTATATTTTTGTTATTTTTAGCCCTATTTTCATGATTTTTTCAACAAACTGTATGTAATTATATCAACTTTAATTCGTAAACTCAGTTTTTTTTAAACTTTAGTAATTGGCCTATTATACAGGGTTAATCGAGGGGTTGTTTTTTTATCCTAACTTTAAAACACCCTGTGCAATAATTTCGTGTGTAAATTTTCCTGAAATATAATTTTATGGTACGAACCATGTCTCCTGAGCATTTTGTTTTTTGAATCACGTCAATACATGCTTTGGTAAATTTTTAAGAGTGAAATGAACTGATCACGATCAATTTACAATTTTTTCTGTTATCATTACTTTTGATGTAATTTTTTAATAAGACGAAATGGTTTTGGTGACTATTGTCGTCACGTTATATTACGCTGCCTCGGATACCCTATACTATATTAAAAAAATTTAAAAAAAATAACGTTAAAGACTAACTTTACAGTCCTGATTTTAATAAATATTAATAACGCTAATAAAACTTACGATATTAACAAGAAAACATCTGTGATACTGAACAAACAGAAAAAAAATTGTAAAAAATACACTAATACTTTGTATTGTCTCCCCTAGCTGCTACAACTGCCTGTATTTGTTCGTTCATACTGTCACTGAGGCTGCATAATATATCATATTACGTTATGTTTTCCCATTCTTCTTTAAGGACCAAGCGAAGTTCATTTAATGAAGCTGGTACTGCTTCGCAACCTCTAACCCTCCTGTCAAGCATTTCCCAAACGTCGAACATGATGGGCAGTTCATAGTAGTATATAGTTCAAAATAATCATCAAAGCTGCCTGGTCATATTGAAAAAAACTTCAAAAAGAAATTATAATTAAAAAATTGCAAATTGTTGATGGCAATTTCGCTTTTAAAAATTAACCAAGACATGTATTGACATGATCCAAAAAATAAAATGCTCAGAAGACATGGTTCTGACTGTAAAATTATATTTTAGGAAAATTTACACACGAAATTATTGCACAGGATGTGTCAAAGTTGGGGTAAAAAAACAACCCCTCGATTAACCCTGTATAATATGCCAAATACTAAAGTTTATAAAAAGCTGAGGTTACAGATTAAAGTTGATGTAATTATATACAGCTTGCTAAAAAATTCATGAAAATAGGGCTGAAAATATAAAAAATATAACAGTTTATATTTGACCAAAATTTTCTCCGCTGCGTAGTGTCACTGAAGGTAATATTCACAACTTTTTTAAGTGACAACTCTACCACATATTATATGCTACATAAGCTGTTATTAATATTTTACAAAATCTCACAATACGTTTTAGTGCACGAAACATAATTTTCTATAGAAGATGACTGAATAAAAAATTAAAAGAATAAAGCCACAGCCTTCCCCAAAAATATCTTTTGTAATTAATCTATTTTTCAAGCAGAAAACTGATGGAGTTATATAACTGATTGTATATCGGAAAACCATTAGGGAGCGCACACGAGCCGCCCGTTCCGTACTAAATGCATTTTGGAATCGGCTCGATCCACCAGCGTCAGTAAATAAACGTTCAAATTAGGTCTCCACCTAGACGGTTATCTGGAAAATTGCGCTGATAAACGGCGGAAACAATATAAAATAGAGCCGCAAAATTGAAGTTTCCGTTGGTTTTTTAAGTCCCTCTCTCTTGAGCTCTCGCTTTTATTTCCTATTTTATCGCTAAGAATAAATTTAATATTTCCGCTAAAACGCTTTTCGTGCTGTTTGAGTGTTCTAAGCTTATTAGAAATTGATTTGAAATGAACGGACAAATATCTAATAAAAATAAGTTTTAGAAATATCGATTGAAACCGAAATATTAAAAAGTTATTATTATGATTACGAAGTTATTCAAGTGTTGAATATTGTATTATATAATGTAAACTTACACAGTTTCTTTTTTTCGCCCGTAGTTTTAGAAGAGCTTCGCAGTACAATTAATACCATCAAAAATAAATCCTCATCTGGGACCGACGCGCTAACTTTAAAAATGTTTTCGAATATGCCAGGAAGCACTCTGAATCACCTAACTACTCTAATAAACATGTCATTCCAAAATGGTATTTTTCCAAAATGTCTTAAGACGGCAATAATCATTCTTCTGCATAAAGGAGGAACCAAAGATGATTGGCTAACTATCGCCCAATTGCACTCCTTCCAACGCTATCTAAGATCATAGAAAGGTTGGTTAAAAGAAGGCTGGTATATTACTTCTCTCAGAAGTCAACTTGTGAGGGTGGATACCACATTGTCTTCTAGCAAGCCAATAGAATGTGGAGTACCACTTAGTACACTGACTTAATCACCATTAAATCTTGGTGCGATTCGAACCTCTTGAGTCTCAACATTTCTAAAACTAAGGCTTCGTCGTATAAAAACTCGCTGCAGCCTTTTGTACTTAACAACACCACCATTGACGTCGTAAAATCTGTAAAATTCTTAGGGCTTGTTGTAGACAATTTTCTGAAATGGGACATGCATATCGACGCTTTGTCAAAAAAATTAAGCTCTGCCTGTTTTGCATTAAGATCTGTTTCTAAGGAGCTTAACTTGTCAGTGGCTAGAACTGTTTATTATGCACTTTTTGAGTCGCACC